GCTTGTTCCAGAAGTTGATAAAATAGCTAAATGTGTTAGGTCTAACTCTTAGTGTGTGTTCGGCTCCGCTCACCAGTCCGTCACAGCGGGCGGAGCTGCAGGATTTCTGCTTCACACACACGTTGCATACCACAATTTTATTGTCATTTTCGGACACCTTAAAATAATGCCAGACTGGTGAAGCCATTGTGGCGAGCTGGTTTTTCCGCGCACAGAGAAAAGTCTCATGTATTTTACGTCATGTGATCGGCTCTCCTGATCGGACTTTATAGAGAGCACCGATCGATCGGCCGAGAGTGAGTATAGGCCGATAACAATCGGAGCATCCCTAAATAAGACAATAACCACATTGTGTTAAACACACCCTGTCACATAAATAGAATAAAGTTGGCTAAAATAGTTTCACTCATAGCATGTGTTCCGGTTTGTTTGTTTTCTTTTATGCTAGTTGTCAGATAATATTGATAGGAACTAGTGAAAGCCAATAGTTTCTTGATGTTTAGCTTAGGAAATTAAATTCACTTCACATGGAATGTTGCCGGAATCAAACAGTTTTGTTCCGAGTCCCATTAAGATATACAAGGGGTCCGAAAGAGAAGGATGGCCGTCTGTGTCGCTGTTATTGTTCAGGTCTCAGGCTGAAGGATCATAATCTGACATTCTTGTCTCTCCAGGCTGAGGTGATTATGAATTACCACGTAGGAGAGACCGTGTTATCCATCCAGAAAACCACTCTGATCCCCGGAGGCTCCGAGTCCATGGTCTACACCACGCTGTCCGGAGGCATCGGCATTCTGGTCCCGTTCACGTCCCATGAGGTATAACATCAACGCCTAGAAATACACAACAAGAAATCTGTGTTATTCCTTTTCTATAATCATGGACAATTTGCATATTATGCATATACATATTGCAGCCTCCTCACAATTCCTCACATGATATATTTAACTTTTAATTTCAAGCTAGTGTACACAATCTCCTATTGTGAATACATTTTTAAGACTCTCAAAATGCTGCTGTTGCAAAAGTATGTCCCAATTTGGGATTAATATAGTATCTATCCATCTATCTACAACTATTATCACTTATTTTTGCCTCGTTGGGTTTTTATTTGAGTCTCTTAATTTATTTTCCTCACATTTCCCTCCCTCCTTTGTTTCTTTGTCCAGGACCATGACTTCTTCCAGCATTTAGAGATGCACATGCGCTCTGAGTTTCCCCCACTGTGCGGCAGAGACCACCTCAGCTTCAGATCCTATTACTTCCCAGTCAAGGTTGGTTATGTTTTACGAGATCTCATCCTTCAGATGTTTCAGATTTATAAACTTTTATGTCCCGAGTCTTTTATTTTTGTCTGTCTTTTATTTCCTCCAGAATGTGATTGACGGAGATCTGTGTGAGCAGTTTAACAGCATGGATCCTCACAAGCAGAAAAGTGTGGCGGAGGAGCTGGACAGAACACCGCCCGAGGTGTCTAAGAAACTGGAGGACATTCGTACTCGCTACGCCTTCTAATCGTACACCCTCATGCAGCAGAGCTGGACACACACACACACACACACACACACACACACACACACACACACACACACACACACACACACACACACACACACACACACACACACACACACACACACACACACACACACACACACACACCTCCTTCAGTACCCCAGTGTGCCCAGGTTCAGGAAACCAATTGATGGATTGTTATATGTGGGCAGACACACACACACACACACACACCTTATTACGCAGAAACAAACCGCAAGACGTCACATGGTTTTGATTCCCGTACATTGCAAGTCACACACAGCTCATCCTTGCAACGCAAACACCCGCAATTAAAACTATGAGTGCGCAAAATTTCAGTATTGCCGTCATTACCTGGAAACATGGCAGGAAGTCTCGGGCCAGTTCAGCCCTCTTGCATTGCTAGACTGTTAAATTACCTTGATTCAGACAAACAGCAGTTGGAACATTCTCATCACACTCAGTCATAAGCGTTGTTCACACACAGATGTGTGAACAGAAACTGAGGAGCAACTGTCATCTGCACCAAAATAATTGTAAGCGCATACATTTTATTTAAATGCCAAGCAGAGAAGTCTAGTTAGGGACACAATGTGTAGAGAGGGATTGTCACTCTGAAATCTAAGATTTTTTTTGTCTGTTATTCAGCACGACGGTTTGTTTGTGTCCTTTAATCTCAGCTGAATGAAACATGTTTTTGTATGGCAAGGTCTTCTTTTATGTGTATTGATTAGAATTATGCCATGATGCATATACCATAGTCCATGAGGGCATCATTAAATCTTGCTTAGCCCTTCGCCCTACCTGTCTGTTTGATGACATGTCGGCCTCTTTAAAGCATATTGCTTACTTGCAACTGGGAACCAAACAGAAGCCAGCGTCTGACCCACGTTTGGAGAAGTGTTGCCATACTCTGGCATTAGACGTCGGCCGGACTCAGACTAAATAAGTGGGTGGAAGAACACCGAAGGTTTGCACTGGGTGTTGTTCTTCTCAGTCCTGTAAATTCCCAACCTCAGCCACAGGCTCAGACATAGCATTCCTCAGTAGTCACTGAATTTAGGGGTTTGTGGGATGGGGACAGTGGTCTGTTTTTTGTAAATAAAGTTGTTGTTTTTTGTGCTTTTATAAAACCATGTGTTTGGTTCATTTCCTGCCACTGAAACATCGATCAGCCAAATGATTCAACAGTGCATTTGTCTTAATCATGAAGAAATTAGAAGTCCAGTATTAAGTTGTGTGATTTCTCATGGTATCCGCACAGGGAATGTAATTATTATTAAAAGTGATACTAACTATCTGATTTAGACCTTGTACAAACAAATAGCAGATTAAACACCTGAGGAGTGAAATACAGCAACATTCCTCTTGGGCTGTAATAATGCATGTCCCTATAATTCAGCTTGGTGTTTTTCATACAAAGAAATGGATAAATATAATGTTCATGCCCACTTTCTTGCCAGGAAGTGTATCGTAGGTCTAGAATCAAAATGTATATAGTTTATTAGCTTATCATTACCTAGCTTATGTTTCAAATTCAAAAACCAGATTACAGAGTTGCATCATTTTGGGATCTAACACCGGGCAAGGTGGTAAACACCACTTCTTACAGCCATTTAAAATGCAAAACAAGAGGATAATGATCTTTAATACATTAGAATAAGAAGAAGACAAGACTAAGTGCTCACATCTGTCTTTGCTTTTGGATGTGTGATGGGTTTTGTCGCTGCGGGATGAACTTGGTCTGACTAAACTTTCCCACTTTTTGCCACAGTTTATATTCCATAACCACATGGGCAGCATTTAAAAAATGTTATGGACAACAAAACTGTACCCTAAAGTGACTCATCCTGAGGACGTGTTGGTCATTTGAAAATAAAAGTTCCAGGCACAGAGAAGAAACATCTGTGTCTTTCAGAATGCCCATCCTGTGCAATTACTGGTTTCACATGCTACTTTATCAATTTATTGTAAAGTGATTTTATTTTAGAAGGTATGATGGTCCTTAAATTGGTAGCAGTACGACCATGAAATGAGAGGTATTTAGTGAATAGATTGTTTTTAATTTTTTAATTTAGATTGACTCAGTTACTCCTTTTTTATTGCAACACTTATCTGTAAATCCAGGTCATAATTCTGAGTTTGAAAACTCATAAGGGCAACATAACTACCACCAAACATTTATATCATACACCAATAATGATAGGCAGTGTTGCTAAAGAAGCCTTCCTTTTTTTTTTTACTAACGGTAAAGCAGCACTTGGTCTAAAAGCACAGGTACATCCAATAAGTACTCAATACAGAATTTCCTCTTTGTGAATATTGTATATGATTTTATTGAATAAATTATAATATAAGTAGATATTCTGTTATAAAATTAAAACATAAAATCTAGTTGATTATAGGCAGTAATCATTATAAATCTTGATAGTGACTAGTGCCTTAATTTTAACATAATTGTAGTGAAGTAAACACATTTGCCCCTGAGATAAAGTATAAAGAAGCTTAAAATGGAAACACTCAAATTACAACTATCTGAAAGCTGTACTTAACCCTCCTGTTGTATTCGTTCCCCCCTTACTTCGATGTTCGCGGTCAAATTTGACCGGTCCTGTTTTAACTGCTATTACATTAACACAAAAACCATTAATCATCACCAAATGTCATTTATCACCCTTGCAAACTGTAAATATTATATCAGACTACTGGTATACATGAAAAACTGCAGTAAATATACAAAGAATAAACACTAAACATGTATTGCGTGTGCCAGGTGTGATCCATGTGGGGTGATGGGCACATACGAGCGGGAAATGTATATCAAATTGTTCTGTGTGTGTTTGTGTGTGCCAGGTGTGATTCACATCTAGTGTATGTGTGTGTTTTATCTGATCCGGATGGTTACTAATTCCTTTTCTTTATGGCGGTGATTTTTGACAGGGAACACCATGGGTGTTACAAAGTTGACTAAATCATCCAAAATTCAATGAAAGTGCAGATCATCAGTTTTATATGTTCAAATGTCTACTGTAAAGGATATCATAAAGCCTTAATCAGGGCCGGACTGGGACAATAAGTCAGGCCTGGAATTATACACCCAGCCAGGCCTCTACCAGTTTTCTTTTGTGCCATTTTCCTGGATTTATTTGTCAATATTTACATCGTTGCTGCCCATAGTGATGATGGCCCTAAACTTTAAATCTACTACCCCAGAATAAACATAATGGACATGGGTTACTATTTTTTTTTTTAAAAGTACAAATCTATTTAGGAACCTATCCATGGGAACATATTTTAAGTGGAGGTGGACCTCAAATCCTCTATGGGGGGTCTGGGGGCATGCCCCCCGGTAAGATTTTCTTTTTTAAATGTTGGACTTAAATGCATCAATCTGGTGCACTTTGAGGGGGAAATAAAGAGACTACACCCATATGAAACAGAACTGTATACATTGAAATAATCATAAAATCATAAGAACATGGCCATAACCAATAACATACCATATCCAATATGAAAAAACATTGAAACTTGTTTATTTTGTTTTTGGTTCATTTATAGTTGTGATTGTGTCTGTGCTCCTGAATCAGCCTCTCCTGTCTCCCTCCTCTCCTCTTTGAGGCAGCAGCAAAGATTAGTTTTAGCTCTCAACAAGTTTATCCTAC